GGAAAGCAGAGTGGGAAGAGGGGCAGCCCAGCCCGCCATGATGAAAGGCAAGAGCAGGAAAATACCAATTTCTACACTGAAGCACCGTTCAGATTTTTGTGACTGTCCTATCTCTTTAAAGGTCACTGTTTCTAGAGCAGAGTTGTTTCAGCTTCTGCTTGGGAACACAAGAGTTTTAGTGTGCCTCTGTGTGTGTTCATGTTAGTGTGTATAGATAAATGTGTTTGCATACACACACACGTGTGTGTGTGTATGTGTGTGGAGACCAGAGGACAACCTGAGTGGGATCATTCTTCAGGAGCATTCACCTTGTTTTTCTCATTGGCAAAGTCTCACCAATTTGGATAAACTGGCTGGTCAGAAACCCCAAGAACCCTCCTTGTTCCCTGGGATGGCAAGTATGAGCCGTCACACTCAGCTATTTTTGCGGGTTCTGTAGTTCGGATTCAGGTCCTCATGCTTGTGAATAAACACTATCTCCCCAAGCCTTTGCCGTTCCCTCTAATGTCAGCTCCGACTGATGAGGAAACTGAGCGAAGTCCCCTTCCTGTTCATTAGCAGCTGATGCTACCTGGTTACTTTTCTCTGAGAATAGACCTGGTAGTGCTTCTGCTGCCTCATGTGCTGATTTATTTTTGTTCTGGTTTGGAATTCTGAAGACTAGACACAACACATCCGTGCTCGGTTACACTGCGAATAGAGAAATACTGTACGGAGCTGATTATATGTGTTCAGATCTTACACCCAGGCATGTGTCAGGAAACCTCAAAGAATCCTGCCACCCTTCCACTGTAAGCCAAAATTCTCCCTTTGAAGTTCAGATGTTTTATCTAAAGAAGCTGGACATACTGTGATATTCAAAGGGATACTCTTTGAGGTTACCAAATTCCGCAGGAAATTTAGTTTCTGACTTGGTAACAGTGTCATTTACATAAAATCACTCGGCTTCTCCTACAAGGGTAACAATACTCAGATCCCCATGTGAAAGGATCAATAGAAGGAATGTGCTGACCTTTTTTTGGGCATGGCCACCTAAATAAATACTCAGGGCCTGATGGGCACCAAGATTTAAGGATAGAATGACTGCTTGTTTTGGGCAAATAGTGGAAATAATACTGTCCACCTCTCTCCCTCTTAAATTCAAAACCCAGTCACCATGAGCTAGATACATGGTGATGATTATAACAGTGGTTTGACTAGTTTTATGAATTGTGTTCTAAGTCTTTATTAATCCAACACAGGAATTGACTTCTATTCTGTTGTCTCAAATGAAGAGCTCCTTAAAAACAACACAAAAGAAACAATCAGCTGTTTTTATATTTTTGTATTCTTCAAACTTGAGCTGAAACACAAATCCCTTTTGTAGATTTTAAACACTGACTTCTCACAGCAAGAGAAGAAGGGAAGGCAGCCGAGGCACTGTGGAAACTATGATTAACCCGGAACCAGAAAGTGCTACTTTGAATTCCCACCCTCTCTTAGTGATCTTGGGCAAATGATCTTTCTTCACCTTGCAGGGTTTTTGCAAAAATGATTTTTAAACCAGAAATATAAATGTGTTAAAGGAACATTACTACAATGTTTTATTTTTATACCTTGTGGAAACTAAGAGTGGACACTGTGTTAAAATTCTCAAATTCTGTTGGCATGTCATACCATTGAGGTTTAGCTTGGCCACATGGAGTCTATAGACTCACAGAAGTGTAACTGGTTATAAATTTTATTTTATTTTATTTTATTTTTTTGGCACAAAGATTTGTTCTCTTTTCTAAAAAGTATTTTATGTAGCTATTTAGGAGCACAGTGTTGCTTCAATGATTATGAATAAAAAAATTCCCTGTGTGTACATGAACTTGTGTGAACTGTTTTTGTATACATCCATGTATATGAGTGCTGCTGCATGTGTTTCTCATGAAGAAGTCAGAAGACAACTTCACTGTCTGTCACACAGAGGGTATGACAGCAAGGGAGAGAGTGGGAAGGGTAAAGGAATACTCAGGTGCCAATGATCAAACAAAACAGAGAAGAAAGCACCTGATAACCTTTACTGTCTTTCCCCTTTCCTCAGCCTTGCAGCTGAAGGTGACGAGGGGTGTGTGTTCTTTGCTTCCATTTTTTTTTTTTTTTTTTTTTTTAAATAAAGGCTCTGCCCTATTTGTGTGGCTCTGGGCCTAAGAGCTCTAGCCAGGAAACCAGCGAGAAGGGAACCAGAACCAGACCTAAAATACAGAGAAAAGTGAAACTACACAGAGAAAAAAGGGGTCAAGAGACTTTCAAAACACGGGGAGGCCAGACAGGGACTTGTGGACTGAGCCTGCCCCTCGCCAAACTGCACCATGATAACAGGGGCCAAAAAGTGGTGACACAATTACATACATTAACTCTACAGATACTGTGGTTCTGAAGATGGTGTCTGCGCTCTAGGGTTCCAGAGACACACCTTGGGCTCATACAGCGATGGAGTTCTCCTTTACTGAAAACTTTGTGACCCAGGGCAGAGGTGTCAGTTTGCTCACCGATGAGTGCCTTGGATGCTTTGAATCTGTCGAACATACACTATATGCCAGGCTTGTTTTCATGCAGGAGGATAGGAAGTTGAGTACAATGCAGAACATTTTTACAAAATGCTCTTCTGACTGGGCATGGAGGCACAGGCCTGTTGTGCTGCCCACACTGGGGAGGCAGAGAAAAGTGAGCCAGGCACTCAAGGCCAACTGTGGATATATTAGTGAGTTTGAAGCCAGCCTGGGCTATCGTGAGTTCAGCATAGGATAGAAAGAAGCTGAGATTTAGAATATATGAGTTATGTTTCCTCTCTGTGCTTCTCTGGTCTTGGACATTTCAAAGAGCTACTTGACTTACTCTTGAGGGTCAGATAATGGAAACACTGTTACTGCTTGCCCTAAGCGCTCAGGAATTTTTCTGGTCAGATTCTGTCAAGATTCTCCTTTGCAGTGATCTTACCCAAAATACTACCTCGAGATGAATTTTTTCCCAGCCCAGCTCCCGGAGGTAGCTGGAAATTTAAGACATAAGCACATGTGAAAACATAAAATGGGAAAGAGATGCTAACTGGTTACATGCAACTAAGTGGTACTCCATTAACAAACTCGGCCTCTTTCAGCAAGCCAGGCCTGGGTTCTTCTATCAGCAACTTGTCTTACTTAGAATCTGTAACTTTTGAAGTTTAAGAATAAGAGAACCAAAGGTAAGAACGTTGGTGGGTGGTGATATGTGGATCACCCAGGCCGCCGTTACCTCCTAATCATTGAAATCCAGAAAAGAGGGTAACAGGAAACATCCCCGGCCTTGAGTTCCACCTCCCAGATCCTCACCATCACTCGTCACTGTCCATTTGTACTTCTTCCTTTTCTTCCTTCATAGTATCTTTAGGAACTCACTGCATCTTTAGTCAAGCACGTGCCTTTTCTCCATATCCTCAACTTGACCACAACCATTGTGAATGGGTCTTACACCCAAGGAAACCAGCTCAGTGTTGACAGGAAGTCCAAGCAAAGCATAAGCAAGCATCTCTTCGTGTCAGGTTAGACCAGTGTCTTTTCCCCTCTGCTGAAACACACCTATCAGTCCCTGCCTCGTTTCTCCCATGGATGTGAGAATTGCTGGCAGGACTCACACCTGAGGTCATATACCTTTTCTATCTGTATATAGTTCTTTGTGGGTGAGGATCACCTTGAGCGCAGCTTCCAAGTATAGTCCTATAACACTACAGTAGTGAGGAGTAGCTGGCCCGAAAGGGTGATTAGAAAAGCATTGGTGGAGACAGTTTCTAGAAGATCCCAATAGCAGATGATTGGTTCTTTCCCATAACCCATTGGATACGCTCATCATCATTGTTGTTGTTTTATTGTCCTTGTTCATCATTGTCCTTGTTCTACCAAGAAACTCTGAGTACCACACTTCTGCTTCTCTTTCCTTCCTTTTCCTGGATCTCTTTCTTTTCTCCCTCTTCCTTCTCCTCAGGAGTGTGAGACTTTGTGTGTCTATGTGTGTATGTGCATTTGGAAGTCAGAGATAAACTTTGGCTATAAGTACTCAGGAAGTATATACTTTATTGCTTGAGGCATGACCTGACATTGACCTTGAGCTAGTCTAGAGGGCCAGTAAGCCCTGGGAATCTACCTCTCCCTTTCTCAACTCCCTCCAGTGCTGGGTTTACAAGTAGGTCAAAGCTAGGGGCCTCATGCTTGTGCAGCAAACGCTTTGCCAATGGAACTATCTCCCAAGCTCCAAGATTTGTCTTTTCCTTATGCCACAGAGTCACTTTGTTCCTGTACCTGTCACAGGGAGCTTCCTTACTCTTGACACCCACTTCAGCTTTCCCTCAGTCTTCCCGCCCTCTGCCTCACTCTCCTTTCCACTGTTTTTCTTCTGGAGCCAGGTCTTATCCCATGTTTTTTTCCTTTCTTATTTAGCCAACACCAGCCATCAGCAGCCCTTGAATCCTCCATGTTACGAGTGTTACTGACTTCCAGTGACACTCTCTATTGAGTACCATGGTAGCACAGCTTCATGGTTTGAGTTTGCATCCTTGCAAGTTGCTTTACTTCTCTAAGCCCAGGAATTACCTCTGTTGTCAAATGGGAATGTTCACAGTATCTTGTTAGATCCTTGGGAAGATTAGATGAGCTTGTGAACCTGAAAACCTTCATATTTCAAAACCTGGCATACACTTATTGGTGAATAGACCTTAGTCACTTATTGAAGTCATAGGAGGGCAGTGCTTTTGAGAGGTTTAAGGATTCCATTGTGGCTGAAGACATGGACCATGGCATTTTGAAGCTGTTTGTCATGTGACTAAAAACAGCTCTTTTCGGTGCAAAGCGAAGAGGGCAAAGGATGCAGAGGTCTCTTGCAGCTTGGGTAAAGGGAATGTAGCGTTAGGGTGAATGGAAGCATTCAGATACTCATTCTTGTGTCACTCTTGCATCACACCACGGTGTTCTGCAAGTTCAGGGGATTGTCCTTGTTATCCACAGGGAATTTGCCAAAGAAAGAGAGAGAGTGGAGAACCGAAGGGCATTCATGAAGCTGCGGCGCCAGCAACAGATTGAACGCGAGTTGAATGGGTACCGCGCCTGGATAGACAAAGCAGGTAAGGCTAAGGGTTAGGGGGCTGGTGGGTAGTGGCCGCGCATAGTAAACTAACCCTGCCCAGTATCTCTAAGACTTCCATCCAATGCTCAACCTAGAGTACAGCAGCGAGGAACTCTGCGTGTCCCGTGAGTGTTTAGGCTCCCCTTCTGTTTTGAGGGCTTCTACAGTCTAACTCCCCCCTGTTCTTAACTAAACCCCTTTCACAAAGTAGGGGTATTATCTGATGGAGCTCAGTAAAACAGAAGAAAAGCCAATCCTGAGGGGGAAAAAAAAAGGCAATCTGGTGATATTTTTACTTTGCCTCGCCCTGCGACTGATCATCCATGCATTTAACAACTATAGACTGACTAACCCCACTTTGTGCCAGGAACTCAGAGTACAGGGTTGAGCCAAACAGACCATTATGCCTCCAGACCTCATGTCTCCCGGACCTCAGTCTTCTTGAGTTGGGAAGGAAGCAAGAAACAAAATACTTAATACCTCACAAGAAGGTGGTGGGTGCAATGGGAAAACAGGTCAAGCAGGCTTGTAGGGTGAGGCTCTGCTGTAGCTTCACCCCAAAATGGTGCAGCATGGGCCCTTTTGTATGGCAACTTGGAGGAGGTGAGGAATTGGCCGTGGAAAGAGCTGGGAGAGGAGAATCACATGTCAAGTCAGATTTAAGAGAGTGGCCACTGCCGCTGCAAGAGTAAAGGGGACAAGAACAGGATTAAGAGTGGCAGGCGGCAGTATGAAAGCAGTCATAGATGAGTCACAGTGGTTATGTGTGCGACCTGATGGGTCACTGGGCTTTCTAGTGAGCAGAGGTCCCCTGGCTTGAGATTGTAAAGGAACATATGTTTGCAGCACTGGAATTAGACCATAGAGAACAAGGCCAGAGGCAGCAATGGGATGAGCGTGGGGCCAATGCAGCTGTCCCCAGCAGTGAGGACAGGTGTTCAGTGAGCTGTCTTTGCTGCTCACTCATGGGAAGAACTTGAGCCCAGCTAGAGGGATGGATCCAGACTTGCCACAGTGGCATTAATGCAGAGCCACCAGGTTCAAGGTGGCTCAGATGCTTATGAGAGGCATCAGTCACCCTCTCTGACAATAAAACGGAAGCATTTGCTTTCGTTATTATTTGAAAGACTGGATTGCATTAGTGTTATATATCTTCGTTTTCCTCCAGAGCAAAGAGTGATTTTTTTTTAATAAAAAAAAAATTCATGTGACAGCATCTTTCTCTATCCTTAGCAGTAGAAAGCCAGCCACAAAAGTGAAGTCACAGTGGGACTAATAGGGGCCTTGATTTGATTCTGTGAGCCTTATTCTTCCAGGGGAACTTGAAATGATTCAGTTACACTTAGTGTGATCACCAACACTGCAAAGCCCTCTTTAAGCTCAGTAGTTACTGATAACTTTTGGTTATCGGTAAGGGCTGAGAAAGTATGTGTATAACTAAAAGCCAGACACATACTTCCTTGTTTTGGACATCCACATTTCCTTGTCCTTGGAGGCAGGAGATATCCCTTTTGATTGTGTGTCCATTTCACCCCCCCCCTTTTTTCCTTTATTAATTACACTTTATTCACTTTGTATCCCCCCTGTGGTTCTCTCCCTCCTCCCATCCCAATCCCTCCCTTCCTCCACCCTCTGCATTCATGCCCCTCCCCCAGTCCGGACTTCTTTTCCTTCCTTCTGATCCTAGTCAATTAGGTCTCATCAGGAGTGGCTGCACTGTCTTCTTCTGTGGCCTGGTTCACCCCTTTTTCTTAAGCCTGTTGAATAGGGGTGAGAGGGTATTCAATCTTGCCTCCCTCTTCCCAGAATGGTAAGTCCACCTTACCAGGGGAAGGCAAGCTGATTTGCCTCCAGGCCAGGCAGGCAGCTTAATGCTTCCAACTGTCCTTGGCATCCTCACTAGTGGAGCCATCTGACAAACTGCTGAGTGAGCTGGCAGTGTACCCAGGAAAGGCTTCTCCCGGGCCTGGCCATGACCCTACCCAAGTTCAGGTGCCATGGATGCAGCTCTTTTTATAGCATGATTTCCCAATCCTTGCAAAATTCCAAAATTCCAAAAGTTCCCTTTTCTCCAGTTAGCAAAGGCCGTCCTCTGCCACTTCTAAGAAAGAAAGAAAGAAAGAAAGAAAGAAAGAAAGAAAGAAAGAAAGAAAGAAAGAAAGAGGGAGGGAGGGAGGGAGGGAGGGAGGGAGGGAGGAAGGAAGGAAGGAAGGAAGGAAGGAAGAAAGAAAGAAAGAAAGAAAGAAAGAAAGAAAGAAAGAAAGAAAG